TTACGTCACTTAATAGCAGAAGTTTGTGTAATGGTTTATCGAAAAAAGACCCCTAAAAATCAAATCGGTGGATATGATAAAACAAATTTCACCAATTTAGGTAAGTAGTTATTAATATATCGTCAGAAGTGGTCTAAAATTTTGAGTTAAGGCGTTTTTTAAATAACGCATGATTTTCACGTTTCATCTAATCATGTAATCTAATTGGTCAATCTATGTCGATTTTTAGATCAATACATCATGGCATTATGTGACCAATCATGATCTTTTTGAATCCAACAAGCAAGCACAGGTGGTATATAAGCTTAATTAGTAAGTCCTGAAGTTGAGGGCTCCCGAACAGAGTATGGCAAACCCAATGATGCTGATGGAAACAACCTATCCTACAAGAGGGGTGACTTGGTTGGGGTACTCGGGGTAGTGCTCGGGTAACACTTCTAAAGCCGGTAGAGGGGTGTGCTAGCACTGGGACCCTCAGCGGAATATCCTGCCGCGAAAGGGGTAGGTTGGGTGCTTACTTCAACAAACAATACACAATAGATATCGTAATCACGAGTCTATATACAAAAGAAACTGTTTTTTTATTTAAATTTTAACGACTGCCCGGTTTTGTTCAACGTGTTCGCATCTTCTGGTATTATGTAAATATCGATATCAGGTAAATTTTCTGATTTAATTCTTTGGACTATTTAAGCATACTCATGAAAGTGATTATAAAATTAATTTCTGTATTTTCCGATGCTTTTTAAAGATTTTTGACATTTTTCACGTAGTGTAACTTGCTCGTGAACCTTAAGAAAATATTCGAAAATTAAAATTTAACGTAATAACTTTGTACTATATGGTGATACTGTTGAAATTGCGTTAATTGAAGTTGGTGAGTGGTCTATGTATTCTGATCCCATTTGATCCCAAACTCTTATATGAAAGATATGGAACTAAATATAATCTTGCTAAATCTTGATAATTTCAATTATGAAAAATTTTTGTTCATTTCAGGTTAGGGATTCTATTGTAATAATATAAACAGTTCATGTAATAGTGTTTTGTTTTTAGCAGAATAAAAAATTGCCAAAAGTAAACTTCTGTTATACTTAGATGATCCCACTTTATAATCATTTGATTAATTGCAAGAGATCCTTTATGACACTTTAAATAGCTAATCTATTCCATGCATTTTGGCAAATTAACATTTTATAAGAAGCGAGGGTAAAGTCAAAATTCATCATCTTGTGTTCCTTCAGATATTGATCTATGAAATTTTAAAAAATTATAATTAATTTTCACCTGTATTTAAGATTGAAATGAAAAGTACGTATCATTAATTTTTAAGTACCTGGGATTAACTGAAAAGTTTTAATTTTATTAGTATTAATTGTATTAGAATGTTAAATTTATTACTGCATTATGAAAAGAATTTACATACACCTCAATTCATATCTAGCCATTAAAGTTCTGACTGTGACGCAAAATTCTTTGGAAAAAAGTTCATCTGATTCTAAGTCCTTTATAGTTTTATCGATCACTCTAATAAGTAATTTATTATAATTCTGCTCATCTTTTACTTCATTCAATTTGGTTGAAAGATCAGAAATGGTTGTTGATTGAATCTACCAATATCCAATGAGTTGTGCAATTGCCATGTTTAATGATTTAAAATTTGCCAACACAATATCAATATTAGTTATTAATTCATCCCTTTGTTCTTCTAATTGCCTTCTTTCCACATCGCTTTTTGATGAATACATTCTTCTAAAGTATTCACTTGATAAGCCTACTCCTATTAAAAAAGAAAAAAAAAATCTTTAGATTCAAAATTTTATATACACAGCATACTATTGATTTGATTGGATTACCTGCTCCAGCTAAGAAAACAACCCCACTTCCATCTGCTAATCCAACACCAGCTACTAAAGGACTAGCGCAGAGAGTTAAACCGAACATTTTCATCCAATATTGGGTTTTATCAAAGTCATCTTTACATTTTGATTTAACATTTTCCGGATCATGCTGGATATCTTCTTGGTATTTATTAAGATCTCCGATTCTTACTAATTCATTTTTAATTCTTCTGACTTGAGCTTGCAATGTTTCAGCAGATTTTAAATTCTTCTTAGTGTCATTCAATAATTCCTTAAAATATTCATCGTTGGAGAACGAATCCTCTCGAAAACTGTTAATAAATAGCCGTAACTTTGAAGAATAACTTCGAACTTCATGGCTTTGTTGAACTGATCCTTCCAAAAAACCGAAGAATTCCTCACGTTGAGCATTAATATTTTCAATATTATTTTTGAGCACATAATCATCAGCTTTGATTTCTATACATTGCCAAAATTTTTCAAGACTAGAAATCAGACTGTCTCTCATAACTTTCATGTTGAAACTCACATAATTAACATCATAAACGGAAGAATCATTTCCTTCAAAAGGGTCAGTTGATATATGAACCATTTTTATTGAACTCAAACAAAATTTCAACGAACAGAACCTAGGTTTTATATGATGATCAGTGATGTAAATTGGATCCGCGCAGTAGGCGTAGCGCACATAGATTTAAATTTGCGCATATATCAGCGCTCTCCGTATATATAAAGCGCGTATAGATTTCTTTTTTGTGTGCATTTTTTTTGTGTTTGCGTCAATAAAAATTTTTTGGATTTATAACACTGATGATGATCATTTCCCCGAAACTTCCTGCACTTAATTTATATAAGTCCAATTCTAACTCTAAATTGGGAAACTCAGTTGTCGAGGAAATGTTGTACGTACTGCTAGCTCCTGTAATGAAGCATCATGTGATATTCAGCGGTAATGTAACACTAATGCCAAGAGTGCTAAATAGCGCTAAGTATCGCTAAATAACACCAATATTCCTAAGCACTTGTAATATTAGTAGCACCAAGTAGCGCTAAGTAGCGCTAAAAAGTGCTAAAGAATATAAATAGAACGCTAGCAAGAGATTATAATGTTCAAAATGTATAAATAGCCTCACTTATCGCTCTTGTAAGAAAACAGTTCTATACTCAACAACGCAATAAAGAGTAATCATGTCTTCATACACGAATTCGAATACTTTATTAATACAATAAAACTAATAACCCCCTAAAGAGTAATCGTGTCTTCATACACAGATAACTCGAATAAAATAGTATATAGTGTCTTCATAGACGAATAACTCGAGTACCTTATTGAATAAATCATAAACTTGCTATATGACTACTTGTATCTTCATATACATTTAGCCGTTTGCCTCTTTTTAACTGCATCACCATAATCCTTTTAAAAGCGTAACTGCAATAAATTTTACTCAAACATAAAACGGTATTCGTTATCTATCGTCTAACATACCGTTGCTAAAGTAAAACCGTTATACCGAACTTATAAGAGGTAGTATGCACGTACGCATGCATATCGGTGAAGTTGACTTTAAAATTTAAATTTCATTATCATTTTTATTACTACTTTTATAACGGATGGACAAATGAAAATAAAGAAATTGACGACTGTATGAAAGAGTTTCGAGTTTACTAATATCTCCCCTACTTCTGATTGGTTCTACTAATTATTCACATATCGGAGTACCTGCGTTATTAATCAATGTTGCGGCTGAAGCTGGAAACGGCTGAAGCTGGAAATTTTAAATATTTTATTATGAAATTTTCAAAATTT